TCTGTTCTCTCCTCTTATTGATTTAATTGAAATTTGTATTTTGAGAATTTGTCAAATTTTTTCCTTGATTTTTATTTTAATTATTCTGGTATGAATAACTTATCCTTTTAAATGAAATTGTTCTATTGTTTTAAAGTTGTTGTTGGCTTACAACTTTACTTCTCTAATCCGGAGGTTTTCTGAGAATAAATGGAAATTAAAATTAGTTGAAATTGAAAATTGAATTTTGAAATTTGAGCAATAAACCAGGACTTTCTCCCTATCCTTAGAGTGAATATCGGTAAGGCATATTGCATGTGTTACTTCGTATAAATCAACCATGGGATTTCTTTTTCTTCTTTTTTTCGTGCACTTTTATAGGATTCTAATTCATTCATTAACATTGCATCATGAAACAATATTGGGAACATATAAAACTACGGTTGTTTTAATTACCTTTCTGCTTATTTCATTATAAATGAATTGTATTTGCCTTGAAAATTATTGCTATAAATTAGTTATAATTCTACTGTAACTAATTATGTCAATAAAAATAAAATTATGAAGAATTGTATGTCATCTTTATATAAAAATATGCCAAAAACCCTTATTAAGGGGACAATTTCACGTTTTTTGGTTAGTGTCCCCTGAATAGGGTTACCATATTCAGGGGACACCCCTATTAAGGGGACACTTTTTTTGGTCCCAAAGGTGTCCCCTTAATAGGGGTTCTACTGTATTATGCTTTATTGAACAGCATGCTAAGAAGGATCGTCTGTTTGGATCTTTTGTCTTATTTCCTATATCAACTTTTCAATAGGTGGTAATGTAAAAACATACGGTAGTGCATTTAAACTGCAACATTTTCGGGGGTTCTCTAGGCTACTATAGTGAGGCCGGTGCTAGCGACTTAGCATAGGCCTAGATGATAGACTTTCAAAACAAAAAGATAATCGTAACGAAAAATAAAGGATCGGCCTCACTTTATCTTCTCAAAATAATACAGAGCGTTGATTTTAACTTCAAAGTTAGGTAATGTATGATTATATATATTTACAATGATATATTAAAATCCATTAATCGAATTGTCCTCGTGATATTACAGACAGTGAAAGAAAGTTTATGCAGCATCAGTGTTTTATAAAGTATTATAAAGCTATACGCGCGCACGCTGTGTGGTAACAACATGGCGACATGCGCCAAGTTGTCCAAACTGGCAGGTGGATAAACCCGGTGATTTGAGCCGGGTTTATCCACCTAGTCTACAGGCCTGAGAATATTAGAGCGCTAACTGCAATTCGATGTTCGCAAGATGGCTGCCATTGATTCAGCCAATCAAATTTCGCCTAAGCACTATCATTTTCAATGGCGCCCACAATTTACACAGAAAGTTCGGTATAGCTAGTTACCCGTATGTTTGAAACTCGAGCGTTGCGGTGTATGGGTGTAATCTTACACGATTTAAATTTTTTTTAATTTTTTTAAAAGATGTTGTACTTGACCTCTTTTTGGCTACGATAGTTTAATAATTTGTTATTATTATTAATTAGTCAATACTAATTATCATTAATGAAATAATTAATTGTCAGTCAGAGGGCTTCTTATGTATGGTAATAATTAATATGTATACTAAGCCTGAAGGTGGCGCTTTCCTACGGCGGCCATCTTGGATGGTACACATACACAACTCTGCATTGCTCATAGAGATATAATATAACACCAACATAGAGATATAATAAGAATACTAGAGCGCTAACCGCAATGTATTCGATGTTCGAAATAGGCAGAGCTGTGTGTGTTTACCATCCAAGATGCCATATATTCAGCCAATCAAATTTCGCATGAGCACTATCATTTTCAATGGCGCCCTCAATTTACACAGAAAGTTCAGTACAGCTATGTTTGAAACTCGAGCGTTGCGGTGTTTGGGTGTAATGCACACGATTTTAATTTTCATTCCTTGGTACTTTTTTTTTTAATAAGATGCTCCACTTGGCCTCGTTTTGGCTACGACAGTTTAATAACTTGTCATTATCAATACAAAGTCAAAGTCAAAGTCAAAGTAAAACTTTATTCATCCTTCAACGAAGGAAACTGAATGCTCGCATAAAACTTTTAAAAACAATGTACAATCACATAAAAAAATATTCATAAAATTAACGTTTAAAATGTGCATTAAAAAGTTTAATCCCAGCAGGAATAAATGAACAGGAATAACGATTGGTGTGGACAATCGGAGGCCTCAGCCTGCCACTTCGCTGAAAGACGACATATTGATGGAGTGGATGACATGCATCTCTAGAAACTCCATCAAACACCGTCTTCAGCTGTTTCATATAAACTGACTCCACCGACTGTTGATCCACACCAATCATCGTTCCTGCTCTCCTGATCAGACGATCAATCCTGTTCCTATCTCTCTGAGTGACGTTGCCACCCCAGCAAACGAGGCAGTAGACCCAAACACCACAAATCACAGAATTATAAAAAAGTTCTAAAATTTTGTTACACACATTGAACTTATACATCTGTCTCATACAATACATTGTAGAGTTTAGTTTCTTTATAAGAGAATCGACATGATCATCCCATGTAAGCGAATCATTGAATACAACTCCAAGGTATTTATATTTATCTACGCGATCAATTTCTTTATTTTTTATGAAAATCTTACTAAAATCACTCGTCCTTTTCCTAAAGTCAATAATCATCTCCTTTGTTTTAGATGTGTTCAATTCTAGATAATTGTCGTCGCAATAATTTAAAAACCTTTTAATCTCCTGAACATAGTCGGTATCATCGTCATTATTTATAAGTCCAAGCATAGCTGTATCGTCAGCAAATTTAATAACAGGGCACATACAATGTGCTGATCTATAGTCAGCCGTGTAAAGGCTAAATAAAAAGGGGACAAGTACAGTTCCCCGAGGAGCGCCCGTATTGGACCTAATTGTATTTGACTTTACGTCTTTATCTAACTTTACGAACTGAGAACGATTAATCAAAAAATCAAAAACTAAGGAGATTAAGGGAAAAGGAATATTCATGCGAACTAATTTGTCAAATAAAAGATGAGGTTGAATTGTATTAAATGCAGATGAAAAATCATAATACATAATTCGAGCACAATTTCCATGACTTGTCCGGTCTAAGTGAGAATATAAATATTGTAGCTTAAATAAAATTGCATCCGTGGTACTTCTTGTGCTCTTGTAAGCGAATTGTAATGGGTCAACGTAATTAGTAACTAAGGGGGCCAGATTCTTAAGAAGTATTCTTTCGCAAACTTTCATGGCTACCGAAGTTAGCGCTACTGGCCTAAGATCATTCGTCTCACTAACTGCACGTTTTGGCACAGGCACAATGTCTTCATCTGTCCTAATGACAAAGTCAGACTGCGTCATATTATTAAGCAACTCAAGACGTTCATGTATTTCTGTTTTAAAATCAAACTTATCGAAGCGATTAAAGAACAGGTTGATATCATTTGCATATGCATGAGTTAAGTTTGGGAGTTTCCCTGATTGGTGATAATTTTCACAATAGCCACTCATAAGACGCATACCTTTCCAGACATGTTTCATTTTATTTTCAGTAAAACATTGTTCAATTTTCCTTTTATAAATTGTTTTTTGTTTACGAATTGCTTTTTTAAGTTCTTTTTGTATAACTTTTAACTCGTCTTTATTACCAATACGATATGCCCGTTTTTTGCTATTTATTATCTCTTTATCATCTTTAGTTATCCAAGGTTTATTGTTAGCATATATCTTAACAACTTTAGTTGGAATAGTAATATCAGTGCAGAAGTTTATGTAACTACTAATCGACTCAGTCATTTCATTAATATCAATACTAATTATCATCAATGAAATAATATTCAGTCAGAGGACTTATTTATGGTAATAATATGCATACTAAGCCTGAAGGTGGCGCTTTCCTACGGCAGCCATCTTGGATGGTACACATACACAACTCTGCATTGCTCCGCCATCTTGTCAGCACTCTAGTTGATTAATAGCTCTATGGCATTGCTTCGCATTCTTGTCGTCAGCGCTCTAGTTGTTTAATAGCTCGCTCGAGTCTTGACTGACTAACCGGAAGGGAACAGGTCAAAACGGCAAAAAAGCAAAACGGCAATAAGTCAAAAACGGCAATGACCAAAACGGCTAAAAACACGAAAAGCTTCTCAATAAACCAGTTGACTATAAATAACAGTAGGCAACACAGTTAATAATTGAATTACCGAATCAACAATAGTTTGCTTAAAACGCCTTTTTTTTAAAAATACCAGTAAAAGGTTATTGAAAGTAATGTTCCATGGGCGTAACCAGAGCCATATATAGAAATAGTTCCGACATTGAGAATTTAGAAGCCATTTTGTGTCATACGCGATGCGCGTTCTGTGTCTAACGTGATGTGCGTTCCTGTGTATGATATTGTATAATACAGTTAGCGGCCTCCTGTATAGTTTAATTTCATTTAATCTTTTTAGCAGTCGAATTTTATGTAACTATTTATAGATTTTTTTTTAATGATTTCACTACTTTATACCCAATTTCATATTATAAAATAATACTGTAATAATTTACTATTTTTAAGCAGTTCTTTAATCCTCGCCGATAGACCGAGAGAGCCCCTCGATGGCAAGCATTTTTTAATTAGGCAATCCTTAAGTATCTCCTATTATTTTTGCAAATAAATGATATGTGACGACCAGCAAAAATTAATTAAATACGTATATCAAAATGTAATTTAAATCCGTCTAGCGTATATAGATTGTTGCTCTTTAAATTTGAATATGAGTGAGCCCTATACAAATCTTATTAATTTGATTATTATTATTTATAAATATTAAAATAGTATAGGTCAGTTGGCCGCAATATATAAACTGTGAAAAAAAAAAACGATTCAGAAAATTATAAAAATAATAATTTTATAACTCTGCACATGATTTTTGCTCCTTTGCCGTTTTGTCCTATGCCTACTGCCGTTTTGGTAGTTGACATTGCCGTTTTGGTCTGTACTCTGTTGCCGTTTTGGTACTTATTGCCGTTTTGGTCATTGCCGTTTTGTCTAGAAACCATGGGAGGATATCTCTGGAAATACCATAAGTTATTATTAGTAAATTAATGATGAGGTGATACCAAAATTCTGTTGTGTACTTGTAATTGCGCAATGTTTGTGGCTAAAAATGTTTTTTTTAAAAATGAAACTGTTTCTCTTTCACGTTCTGTTTGTTTTATTTAAAAAGGCTAGCCTAGGCTAGGCCTAGGCCTAGTAGTAGGCCTTCCTTTAGTTTTTGTTTTTTCTAGACTCCTACCCTAGACCTGGGCCTAGACTACAGAGAGGAGGAGCCTGGCTTTCTGTACTCACTACTAGGCTAGGCCTAGGCTTGTCTTCACATGACGCGCATAATAAATAATAATATTAATAATATATAAATAAGGCCTAGAATAGATGGTTGTTTGTAGTACCCTGCCTGAGCCAAATTCCCCAAATAGGCCTAGCCTACTAGGCCTAGGCCTAGCCATAGTATAGGCCTACCTAGTAGAAGCCCAGGCTTAGCCTAGGTGTATTTTAATATATTAATATTAATATTATAGTAGTATTGTGTGCAAATGGTTTTTTTGTAGCTCACCTTTTTAAATTGGCCGCCAAGCTTTTCATTGTCAAAATTCTCTGTTTACAAATAAAAATTTATAGTAGGCCTGGCCTATTGCTTTGTAATTTTCTTTTTGCCCAAATAAGTAATAATAATAAAACATTATCATCAAGTATAGTTCAGTTGAGCTCATGGGTAATTTGAAGTGTGTATTTTGTGTGAAGTGTAAAGTTTTGAGTTATAAATACTAAAGATAAGCAAAATGGAAAAACCCATTATAATAGTACGACATATATCTAGTGGTGCGCAAGATCTGTACATACATTACGGAACAGTCATCCAATGTCTATACCATTGCACGTTGTGAGGTTTGTCCAGCTTTAAATTTAATTCTTAAAATTTGTTTTACGATAGCACTTTAAAATTGCATCTTGTTGATAAGCATTACATTGCAAACAGGTTATCTGTTTTAAATGGCACAATAAAAATGTATTATAAGTTTATTAATGTTTTTAGAATATAACATTTTATAATTTTATATTAACAGGTTTAAAAATCAATTGATGAAATTCAAATTTGTAAGAAATTGAAGTTTTGATCATCAAAGTTGTACGATCAAGATGCTGCACATATTCATTGTCAACTCTGGTACAATGGTTACCATGGATATGATCCATATGATGCATAGGTAAGCAGATCTTCAGAAAAGTGTATTTGCATGCAAAATATTCAATTGTAAATTACGAACACATTTATTTTAAAATTGTTTGTCTCTGGAGGTATATTGGTTTTGGACAAATAAATAATATAATAATAATATTTATTATAATTCTTTTCCTGTAGTAGTATAAAAAGATGCTCAAGCATGCCCTGGATGCTGAAGTCACTTATAACCAATGCTTAAAAGCAAAATAGTATACCAAATTACAAAATGCTGTACTTCCTTGTCTATATATATTTTACACACCTGGATTTTACCATGCATGAAGTAGACTGTACACAGAATACTAGTGATACTGTAGTGATTTTTATATGGTTTGCCAACAACAAAGTAATTTGTACTGTACATTTAAAAGACCAATAAAAGTTCTGTGTTCCTTAACACTGATACATTGTTTTCCGCATACAGATCAGTCAGTCTCTTGAAAAAAACTCCAAACAATATTTGATGTACTGTACAAAAAGTAAGGTAAAGGTTCCAAACCTGAAGCAGGCTGGAGTGTCCATCTCTCTTTAGCATTAGGGCCAGACACTGCAAGGCTGTGGGGGATTCACCACTCCTCCCACACAGCAAGTCTGTTTTACCTTCCCAGCATATGCCGGTACCCATTTATACACCTGGGTGGAGAGAGGCAAACATAGATAAAGTGTCTTGCCTAAGGACACAAGTGACTTGCACAGCAAGGGTTTCGAACCCCTGACCTCAAGGTTGAGTGTCCGAGCCACAACCGTTGCGCCAACTGCTTCTACAGTACAACTGATTTTTTTAAAGACACAAATAGGGTGTTCGACACTCCCTCTGTTTTTAATATTTAAATATCTGTTTCTCATTAACAGTTTCCAGGTTTTTTTGTCAAAGACACTGTTTGTGTCTTAGAAAAATCAGTTGTACAACATATAAAAAAATGTTTTCCCTCTGCAGCCTGGCTTTAATATCCTGGTTATGTACTCTCCAAAAGTGTATTACTTGAAAATCGAGATTGGTATTGCTGAATACTGCATCATTAGAAGAGATAGAGACCGAGAGGGTGGAGGAGTCTGCATTTTTCATTAGGAACAACATTGCATATACTGTAATGCCAGAACGGAACATAACAATTTAGAAACATTGTGGATTGAACTCCTACTATCGAAAACCAATTATCATCAGTACTTGTTATTGTCCAAAGAGGATGAACATTGAAATTGCGCACAACATTTGGCCACGAGACTCTTTCTTTGGTAAATTTTTTAAAAAGTCCCTAAGATAACAACATACTGTACCATAAATATTATGAAATTAGAAATAAATTACATAGGGATATTAAACGCGCTCAGTCGGAATATTTTTCAAATAGAGTAAAGGAAAATAAGGCACAGCTCCGTAAGCTTTGGCAACAATTAAAGTCACTAGGATTTAAAAACAATGTTAAAAATGATTCTAAAATGGCATTAGATATTGATGGCCACATTGTCTTGATGATGTTAAGAACACAAATACTGTAAGTTCAACTCTCACTTTTAATGATGCAAATGAGCACCAACTCTATAGAATATTAAAAGAGTATTATGTGAACAAAAACATCCCATTTGATGGTTATGAATTATCAGATGTATCTGAAGACTTTGTTTTTATAGAATAGGTTTGAATATTCACAAGAGTACTGGACTAGACAATATCCTGTCAAGGTTTCTAAAGGATGGTGCAAGCATTCTTGAAAAACATATAGCACACATTGTTAACCTGTCAATTATTACCAAGGTAGTACCAGACGATTTTTGTTGCCATGTCCAACCTACAGTATACACAAAAAAGGACATAAATCTGACGTTCTTAACTATCGACCAATCAGTATCCTTAACATATAAAAGATTCTGGATTCTGGAACAGGTTTTATATGTTCAAATTGATAAGTACAGTACCTAGGTGACAACATTTTGTTTGAATTTCTGTCATGCTTTTGCCATTCCTTTTTAACCGAGTCATGCCTTATTCACATAACAGACTACAGTACATTCGCACTCAAATCTCTAATGAAAATTACACTGGGGCAGTTAACCCTTGGTCTACAGAAGGCGTTCAACACAGTCGATCACCATTCTTTTTTCTAAAGCTATGGGAATTAAGTCTATTGACTGGTTTTCATCATATATAAGCAGTAGAAAACATATCGTATGCATTAACAAGTTTAATTCTGAATTGACAAATATTCATTGTGGGCTTCCCCAAGGGAGACTCTTATTATTTCTTTGTTTATATCAGGGAACAGTGAAATTACATGGAATGATCTCAGACTACTAAGGCGTGCTAATCCTGTTAGGTACCTATTGTTCGCTATTGTTGTAGTGTAATTGCCCCTGCTGTGTCTTAGTTCTTTGTGCCTAAACGCGTAGTACCGACAATCAAGCGAAAAGGATGAAAATATCACCACCAACGTCAGAAAATTTCTCTTAGACTTCAATCCAGTCGTTTTTTTTTTAAATTGTGTTTTTTTTACAAATACACAGCAATTTAATACATAACGACTGGTTTAAAATCACTTTACGTATGTTTTAGAAGCGTTTCCTGTCGAACTCCATAGTGTGATTTAACTAAAACAAGCAATTATAAGTCATTTTTTGGTAAGTATGTGTACTGGCATTGTGCCAAATTACTTACTTTTCTAGACTACAGTATATATTATAAAAAGCTACAATTGCTCGTCATTCTTGTTTCGATGTATTAAAAGATTGATATTTAACTTACAAATTCCCTATGTCTCTTGAGCGAGCAAACATTTTTTTCCCTGTTAATTGTTGCATCATAAATTCAATAAATAACAATAGAATAGCATAGAGGAGAGGAGTACAATACTACAGCAACATAAACTACCACCTCCCAGCATAAAAACACCATCCCACACATACTATACTGTCACAAGTATGTTTAACAGTGAACATAGGCATAGGGCCTAGTATAATTTTATTTTTTAAAATAATTTATGGATACATGATTAACAGTTCTAATGAGTTTACCTGCAGACTGTATTACGATAACCCCAGAGAGTGCACAACTCTAGTACTCAAGGTCTCTCTAGGCTAAACGGAAAAAGCATTCACAACAAGCGCCCATGCTACAGTACGTCGCCTGTAGGCCTGGAGCCTCCCAACAGTACTAGGCAATATAGGGCTAGGCTATACCTGATCGTGAGTGACAGGCGTACATGTTATGTTCACCGTTCTTGTATTGTATCTAGGCCCGAATCCATGTCAAACTGTTGATAGTTAAAATATTGATACTGTAGATTTACTGTTTGATTGGTATTTTAAAATAGAATATAGACCGTTAACCATCGAACATATTTGCAAAATTTTACAACAATCGTCGCGATGTAGGCCTAGTCCCCATTTATTGTTTCTATAATATTTAGGTGGTGTAATTTAACTGTTCCCTGGTATGATCATGGTATAATACGACGTCGATCACCATGAGAACACGATAGCGAGCATGCGCAAAGCAATTGCAATTAGTGGAAAATTGTTTATCAGTTGATTATGATAAGAGCGGCGGTACCGCGGGTTATAACCTTTGATGTTCGTTTCGAGATGTTTTCATGTAATTTCACTGTTCCCTGGTTATAAAAAACATGTCAATTAGTATAGAATGCAAGCTTTTATTATGCAGATGATGGTGTGCTTCCGGTATTGAGTAAAAATCCAACTGAAATTTCTAGTAGACTTAAAGAAATTACCTCATGTTCCTGTTACACATGGTTATAGACAAACTATCATTGCATGTAAGAACAACAGAATCAATTTTATTTGGAACAAAACAAAAATTGAAAGAGGCTGATTTCTCGATTAATTAATCGTGATGGCAGACCTATTAAGTGAGCTTGATTTAATTTGCTTGATCAATACCTTTCTTGTGAAGACATACTGTACAGTATACACATACATAATACTGTACATATTCTAAAAGAATTTCATCTGGCTTTAACAATAATAAATGGAGCTAGCCGAAACGTAGCTGGTAAGTTCGTTTTACAATTGGCTTATCTTTAAAGAACAACCACTCCATTTACTGTACATATTGTAGTTAGATCAGAAAAGTTTGTAGTCATATTAAGTTTCTTTACCGACAACAATCTTTTTTAGACAAACTTGAAGAACATAAATGTTCTTTCTTTGTTCAATGTTATTTTTGATAATAGATGCGCTTCATGGTATTTCATCAGTTAGTGCTCACTACAAAAACAAACTGCAGATCATGCAAAACAAATGTGTTAAATTCCTTTTAAATAAGGTCCTTGAAGTCATTTTGGCCAAAGAGAACTGGATGGTCTAGGCTTTTTCAATGTAGAAGATAGATATACACAAATTAAAATGAATTATGTACACAGCATAATTAATGCTACTGCCCCCTCATATCTTAGCGCCGAATTTCACAGAATTAGTGATAGACAGGCATAACACGAGAAGTATTAATTTTGTTGTTCCCTTCGCTTCCAAAATAATAAATTCCACATTTTATGCCGGCAGAATTAAGAAATGGAAGAGATTATCAACAGGTATAAAAGAAACAACCAGCAAATCCTTATTTTGTAAACTAGTTAAAAGCCATCTCTCTACCAAGAGATATAATTAAATTACTAAATTTAACTATATTTGAAAAAAAATAACATCTACTAATTTTTAAATCATATTTAGCATTGCATCTTTTACTGATGTAATAATATATGTTACTTCACAAGACTCCAATGGAAATAAACCTGCTAATTGGTTTTTTTGGGCTATCCTGTCATGTCCAATATATGTTATGTTTTCCAATACTTTTTCTGTCAATTTCAGTTTTTGACAATTTTTTTACTGTAATCTTTTGGCCAAATAAATGAATGAATAAATAAATAAATGAATGAATGTCAAAAACTATGACTAAGTGTTGCCAAACATTCCATAATCGATGTGAGAGACTCATACAGCATTGGACAACCCAGGTACACATCAGAGTCGCCACTGTAGAAAACAGTGAATTCGATTCCAGATTATAGGCATTACCTGGCGCCTACCGCAGTTGTGGTCTAGTAGGCCTAACCTTTACTGGCAACGGGCTAGGCCAAGACACCTTTCAAATTAACCCTCTTGTGCTTCCTTATAGACTTGACAAAGAAAAAATGCTGATTAATTCGCATAATTTTAAAAATCTGCCAATAAATTGCTTCAATATTGACAATAGTTTTGAATCAATCACGACTTGAGCGAAGTGATGATTACCATTGCAAAAAAAAATTGAAGGCGGTATTTGAATCTGCGTTGCCGGTGTAAAATTGGAGGTCAACCCAGACTTTTTCGTTCGATGTAAATAGAAATGCATCCGGAATTACTTTGGAAATAACTCAGATTTATTCTGACCTTGCCAGTGTGAAAAGGGATAGATCTGCTGACAGGTGCCTCTTAATGGTCCCTATGTATAAGACCCCTTGGCTGGCCCGTCATCTTGGAATGAAATCCACTTTGCACTTGAACTCAACAATTGGGTAAACGGTTTAAATCGGAACTTTTCATTTCAGTTACAGTAGTTTTATTTTCTTTGTTCATTGTTTGTCTTTTTTTTTCTTTTTTTGTTGGAATTATTATTTAATTTATTTTGACTATAATTATTAAATTCTTCATCACTTATTGTGACAGATACCAGTGGTTTTTGAAGAATATGAATTAATAACACTAAAATTCTACATGTTTCTGCTCTGAAAATGAAATCAAGTGGATTAAATTTTTGATGGTTTTGGCCTTCCAATGTGGAATTGCCTTGCTATGGAGTGCAATGGTGGTCATAAGATTGACTGCCTTAAAATCTGAGCTTGGATGAATCATTGTTTGAATTGGTGTACAGGTATACTTTGTATTGTTTTTCGTCCCTTTCTGTCCTGTTTTGTCTTTTTGTCTCTTTTGTTAATCTCTTTTTTTTTCTCTCATTTCAGGTTGTCCCTCCACAAGATTGGTTTTTCTTATCTTCTCGGGTTCTTGCCTTCTTCCTTTCCTGCATTTTCAATTTATTTTAGATCAATTGTAATATATTTATTTGATTCAAAAAGGAAGTAAATAAATGTTGAATTGAATTGAAAAATATTTCGAAGAAAAAAACAAAATTGTTGGTTTTGGGCAAGAAACATTAACAAGGCCTTGTCAGTGTCTAAAACAAAAACATATCTCAACAATTATTAATTTATTGTTTCTCAGTGTGCCGGAGTTTCAACGTGCCATTCAAGAAGAGTATGGTATTCCAGTTGAGAAACAAGTTTTACTTGTCAGTGGAGGTCAAAGTTTGGATGTCCACAAAAGGGTGTGTGATTTCAATGCTGGAACAGTAAGTAAACTTAATATAATAATGTGTTTGATGGTACCTTTGTAAATGATTTAATGATACAGGTTGACCACCACTAGTCATCAATTTCTGTGATTGAATCAAGTCATCCATGAATAAGATATAGAGATTTATAAGCATTTCGATTAAATAGTAATGAAAGTGACACGTTTACCTTCAAAGTAATTATCATTGTTTTTGTCAGGACACCAGTCCTATCTACATGTTTGATAAGTTTCTGATTGAGCAAGCTTCATACCAGATGAGCCCATCATTAACGGAAGATGCCACACAGCCATCTGATTATGAACTAAAAGAACAAGTGGAGGCTTTTAGGAACCTGCCTCCAAGCTACAATGCTGTCAGCTCAAGAACACAAATGGCTCTTGTAAGTCAAACAGGCTCACTTCATAGTTTTTAACACTATATTTGGTGAGTTTTATACAGCCCTGTACTCTATGGGAGGCCAACTTTGATAGGAATTTGGTTTACTTTTTTGGAATCACTTTTCAGCACCATTTTCAAATTGTACTTTTATCTGATTTTCTAAGGCTTGTTTTATGACAGAAAGTAAATGAAATTAAATGGAAAATGGAAAGCTATTCTGTTAGTGCCTACTAATTGTGGCTCTCCAAGTGACTCTTCATTATTTTAATAATAATAATACAGTAATATTTATTTAGAAAATGCTTTTTAACTGTGTCACAGTCACTTCGTAAAATTACAAATATCAAGATCATTTAAACCAAACGCAATCTCAACAGCACAGAAAACGGTATGATTAGTAAGAATTGAGAACAATCTCCCTGTTCAAACTTAATATACAGGTATAAATAATATAATTTCTAAATATAACAGAGTAACCATTCCATGGACATGAATAAACAAGGAAGTATAAAAATCAAGATCATTTAAACCAAATGCAATCTCAGGAGCACAGAAAACGGTATGACAGCGTCGGCCGACGCAGCCCGACGCGATTTGTTGTCGCGTCGGGTCTGTGTGAGTTGAACGCAGACGCGATGGTGTGCGTCAGGGGCAGTCGCGTAGTAGAATATTAAACGTGTTTAATATTTCTCACGACAGCTTAAGACTGTTCCCGACGATAAATCGTGTCGGGCTGCGTCGGCCAACGCTGTCTGAGTTGGCCTTTAGGAAGAACTGAAAACAATCTCCCTTTTCAAACTTAATATACAGGTGTAAATAATATAATTTCTAATCATAACAGAGTAACCATTCCATGAACATGAATAAACAAAGAAGTATAAAGGAAAAATATAAAGCAAATTAACAACAGGAAATACTTAACTAAATTACTGAGGGCACTTATCAGGCTGTTTTTAATGTTATTCATGCTCTCCAGTTTTCTGCAAAAATGTCTTTGATTTGCCCATGGGCATGTGGACATGATGATGTCTATTATATCCAGATAAGGGCAAGTCACAGGTATTTGTCAAAAACTGTTTTTAAGCTTTGCCTTGTATGTTCAGCTCTAATATCAGCGCTGGTTCAAACGGCTCACTCGCCAATGGTTCCGGTGGTGGAACAAGTCTTCTCGGATAAGGACTTTAAACCGTAGTCCCAGTATACTCATTTGGCTTGTGTGCACTGAAAATTTATATTAACATACATTTATTTTTCCAGAAAGCACAGTAGCATTTAAAAGTAATAACAAGTACAAAATTAAAAAACATAAAGTAATAAACCGGCAACATATTGCAATTACTATCTGCAGTTTTAATATTCTCTAGTGCTGTAAACATTCATTTATTATCATTTGGCCGAATTCCAAGCACAAAGTTCAATCATTAACCTAGTATGCATACAATGCCTAGAAAACTCCACAACACACCACTGTAAAAATGAGAGTTTCCTTTCATATTCTATAGTAAAATGAATTCTTTTTTAGCAACTGCATGATCTTGCCAAAGAAAAAGTCAAATCTTGTGAGATTATGGTGCGAGATCAGCATCAACAACAGCAAGGATGGATGGCAGTTGTTGCTAATCTGGAGGACATATCAAGGTAAATAAGAAAAGTGGAGGGAATAAGAAAGCAGATAATAATAATAAGAAGAATGAGAAAAAGAAAGATGGCCATTTACTTACTTTTCTACACTAAAATGCTTTACTGTATTTTCTTTTTTTAGTTATTATAAATTCAATTATTAATAGTTCATTTTAAATATGTTTGTAGTATATGTGAGGTCTCACCACGAAATGAGACGTATCGTTGGTGAAATCATATTGAGATATTCACCAAAATAGGTCAAAGGCAACATTTTTACAAAATTTTGATTTTAATGTTTTTGAATAACTTGATACTTATATTTTATGATTGTGTACTTTTTAAGTGAATTTTCTTACTAAAACAGTGTTCTTTTTGCATATTCCTTAATTCTAGTCCAATTATTTGTACAGGTTAGTTTATCTTTGAGGCCGATTTTCTCAAAACCTGGTTCTCATACACCTATTAACTTTAAATGCTAACATCTCTGGATCTATTTATCCCAGGGAAGCCATTCAAAGATCAAATTAAAGCTTATAATGTGATCTATCAAAATGTAATATAAACTCATTTTTTGCTTTTCTAACGATGAGACTCATTTTGTAGTGAGACCTCACATATGTTATGAAGTATAACAATAATATCAAATGGTTTTTACTTAATGCTAAACTGCTAAAAACCTCATTTAAAGGTCATTTAAAAAAAATGAATATAAAACCAGGTTCTTGGTGATTTTTCAGTGCATTCCACCAACGTGCAAAAGCCTTTGAGCTTAGCCTTACTGATTTTATGTCAAAACGAACAAACTACTTCAAAATGTTGTCGGAGTTTCCAGATGTGCTAAGCCAATTGGAGAGGATTCCCTTGCCTCCCTGTTTGGTAGACTCAGCACGCTTTGAAAGTGAGAGTGACCGAGATAGTATGACATTAATGAGATGGATTAGTAGACAGGTTAGTATGACAGGATAGGCTTTAATGAAATGATATATTGCAATGCTAATTTATATTTTTACATTACTTATTCATTCATTCCTTCTATTCCATCCATTCTGTTAGTTCTATTAATTTCATTCCATTGGTTCAATTCGCTCCATTCATTCATTCCATTTATTTGTTTCATTTATTTCACAATTTATTATATATACACTTTTAAGTTAATAAAGCATAAAAAAATCTTGTATAAGAATGGAAAATGCATATTAAAGATATACAATTAATATACAAATAGCACAACATCAGTATTACTTTGTAGTTACTGGTGTTTCCAACAATAAATATACTCTGTAGAACTATTAAACTTGAATAATTGCAGTGTCTGAATTGCTTAAGTAGTATTAGCTTTCAATTATTAGAACAAGAAACAGTTTTTCCTACAAGTAATTGATGCATAAGGATTTCTGTTTCTGTATTGAATGCATAGATCTGATAAATTTGCTGGTAGTCAATTTAAACATTTGTGTACAAAATTGTTTTTGTCTGTGTATCACTATGTTATTTCTTTATTTAATTAAAGTTTGAGGGTTTTCTAGAATGTACCACAGACAGAATAAATTTATCTTTATGTAAATTGGCTCTCAGCTGGAAGATGAACCCAAACTATGGTTCTCTGATATTCAACAAAATTGAAAAGATGAATTTATATTGGATTTGTAGGACCAACGAAGCTCATTAGTTAATATGTATCAGCAGTGTGCCAAGTCTCTGGAGCAGTTTGAACCTGAAGCTCTTGAGAATTTCAGATGTGACATTAATGATGTGATTGGTAAGTAACAGAAGATTTAAAAAAAATGTTCTCTTAGTTCAAGGTTCAATTTATTCAGTCATATATAAAAATACATGAAATTTGTCTTCCTGGGTAATTAAACATACAATATTAGCACATACAACAAAGATATTAGTAGGCTATATACACATTGTAAACTTCAAACCTAAAAACATTCTGTCCAAAAATCATTCTAACTGTACAATCACAATATTAGAATATGTATCATAAGCAAACAAATATATTAGTTCTTCATTAAAATTTATTTACAATTACTGTAATGGAATTTCCTTAAATAGAGATATCAGCTATAGTATGAAATATTGCTGCACATAGAACAGTCTTGCTTGCTGACACCAGCAGACTCTGCAAACATTGTGTATACTTTATTACCAAAAGTCTTGATGAAAACCTTGTAAACATTTTTATTTTCAGACATTATTATGTGACGCATTTCCACAAAACCTGGACAAATTCTCAAAATATTGAAATGTGTTTTTATTATAATTATATCCTATAACTAAACAGATTATTTAATTTCCTTTAATTATAAGGAACAATTGAATCTGAAGTGTATCACTATTAGCAAAATTGAGAAAAACAGCTTCAAACGGTAGTGTGCATGCATAAGTTACGCATCACTGCACATACAGTGAACATTTTGAAAAACTACATAATATGCTATCATTGTTACTGTTTGAAATACTTAGCTGAACAGGCCCATGTTCACAGTTTTTTATCCATTAAAAACAAAAAGAATGTGAAGGATTGAAGCATTATAAATCGGGGTACAAAGGCAAGCTTTCTGTTTTGCTTGTTTATGTGTTTTTTGATACCGTAAAACCTTGAATTGAAGCCCTGGGCTTCTTATTTTTTGCGAACTTTAGATGGGCTTCTTTTTTCGAGATGGGCTTCATTTTGAGTTGGGCTTCTTTTTGAGGCAACTTTTGCAGAGTGAAGAGGGGGGGGGGGCTTCATTTCAAAATGATAAATGTAAATTTTGTGAATTTGTACCTGTAAAACAATAAATACGGCCACTATAACATCAATCTGTATCAAGGAGTGAATTTAACTGACATTAAATCACATAAACTACTTTATAAACCAAGCTTGTTTTTAATATATTTTGTTTTCTGAAATTCATGTACAGTGTATGTACTCTACTATCACGAAAAGAAGGGGGGAACGTGCCCCACCCTCCATTTTGCCACTAAATTTTAAGATTTAATTTAGCACTCTCACTTATCTATTCTGAATATGTTGTACCCCCACTCCCCTGTTTGACAAAATCTGGATTTTCCCCTGTCCAAACGCAGTGTGCCAGTAGAATTAGTTTCCCCTAGCTTTTTAACTACTCTATTTAACAGGGACTTTCACAGATGAAGGGTCGACACACCACCTCAGCCCCACCGTGGTTGAGGCTGAGGTAAGGAAATATGATTATAGCACCTCTAGATGGCCGGAAATGGCACTCTATGACTTCAATTTGAATAATTTTTTCTTTTTTTCCCCATTTTTTTGTATAATTTTTTATTTTATTTTAGGGTGTGGGGTGCTGGACCAGTTGGTCCCCTTCTTGAATTTGCTGCTGTTAATCATGACTATGCTTCAGAGTCAACATTGAAACATAAAGATCTTTTATGTTCTTAGCATTAGCCATAACGAGGGTGGTGATTTTTTTCCTATAACAGCCATGGTGAATAATCCACCTTGCCCGATAATGGACTATGTACTAATTTTGACCTACCTTCTGCAGTATATGAGGAGCCTATTTTTAGCATTCGTTATAACAGGGGTGGTTACACAAATTTACACAGATTTCTTTCCTATACCAGAAAAGGTGGATAATCCTGGTATGAAAGAAATTAAAGGACTAGGTGATCGGCTGTTCGGTTTGGAACAACTCCTGGCCCAAGCAAAGAAAACCAGACAAGACCAAGGAGAGATGGCTCAGGTTGGAACACTTTCCTTTGATTAATCGTCTATGCATTAATAAGGAAGAAACTAAGCAGTATAAACAATCCAGAACTAATCAAGATGTTTGCTTGAATGATATTCTTGACAATTGAAAATTATAAATTTTTCATCCCAATGCAATAAATTGGTTTTTTAAATTTCCAGTTATTGCAGTAAGTTCTTTATGCATTTTCAAATGTAAATTGTGAAAGTTAACATTCAGTAGCTTTTGGTAAAATAAATTTTTAAAATGTTGAAAAGAAATTCTCATGAATATATTGAATACAGTAGGTGAATCTCTGTTGTTTTTTATCAAGTACTTTGTGTTTTTTTTTGTTTTTTTTTTAGGGCTTTGTGCAGAATCAGTCGCGATTCAGCAACTTGAAAGACACTTCTGTTTTACCACAACTCTGTGACAGTCACCAGAAGCAGCTGGTGGTTATGCTCAAGAATCACCTTCAGTTGAGAGAAATTAGTCGACGTTGTTTGATTGCAAAAGGGGAGCTCTGCAAAAATCTTCATGTCAGGTTGAGGTTAGAATACTAATTATGTTTATGTACAATATACAGTTTTTGCAACCAAGGCCAGCAATATAAAATCGAATTTTTGACTGTCATACACAACCGTCTAATCAAACTTTGTCTGAAATGCAGGAATTTGATTTTGCGTACCCACAGTTGAGTATCTAGGGGGTGCATGGTGTGCACCCCAAAAAATAATTATCCTCTCCCCTTGTTGCTTCCATTGGAAATTTTCAAAGCAAACATATTCAAGTAGTTACCAAATTCTGCTTTATTATTCACCAGAAGCCCCCCCACTTCACATTTGTGCCCCCATTGCAGCTCCCCATTAAATAATTAATTTCTTCAGTATTTTGTGAGGTGGTCCATTCAGCCAAAGTTGATCAATTTGGACCACTAAATATACCACTGCATATCCAGCTGAATTAAACAAAAGTTGTTAAGATAATTATTATATATGTTCTTCTAGGTGGATTATGTTTGTAGAACAACAAATAACTGGGATCCATAGCAAAATGGTTGTGTACCATGAGAACCTGAAAAGATTGAAAAAGAGATTAGAAATTGCTGATCAAGTTTACAATTCACCGACACTGTTTGCAAAAGCACTGGCGGAAATCTATCTCAGAAGGCAGTATGAAGTACAGTTCTCACAAGTGAGTTGTGCTAATTTTTGGGGAATTATGCCAGTGTTTGTGTGATGGTCATCATATTATTGATGATGATAACAGTGATTATGAAGACAGTGATGACGATACAAAATATTTAATAAAGCTACTACCGCTCTAAATCCTCTTTTTAGTTGTTAAAATTGTACTTTTGTGTTTGTAGCGCTTTGGGGCAGTGAGTGAAATGCAGTTAAAAGAAGTTGACAGACGGAAGGAGTTATCAATAATGATGCAGACACACTTCCTTAATGCTTTGTTTCCAGGGCTTTCCAATCTTCCACCAGCAGTCACGGTATAAAGAAATGATCATAATATTTATTATTAAATTTACTATTATATTTGTTAATAACTTTATTAATTTACTTTTTTATTAACTAAGATTCCTTCTGATATTCTAATGTATTCTCATTTCAATCATTTTTATTCTGCATACCATTTTCAGCTTGAGCATGACGTGAGTGATGGTTGTCTACCAACAGTAACGTTGGAAGATATACAGCTACTTAAAGACCAGGTACCAGAGCTAAACTACTGTCTTGAGTAAGTACAAGTTTTTCATCATCATTATTACTATTGTTGTTATGGTTGTTAATATTATTGCTTCTATTGTTTTTGTTGTTCGGTATACTTGAAGGGTTTCCAGTGTAATGAGTGTTGTTTTGTATGGTAGTGAGACCTGGACAATCAAAAAAGACCAGGTGAGGATGGAGCACTTGAGGTGCACATGTGAAGTTTGAAAGCATCTGTGTAGCCTTGAGAATGGCTGGGAATAGTAACCATTAGAAAGTGCATACTAAAAAGAAAGCTAGCATGGTTTGGGCAAACAAATGATATTTAAGTGAAAAGAAATTGATATTTTTTTGTGTCAGTAGTAGTCGTGGAAGAGGTAGGCTATGGGTAACTGGAATGAAGTGATATTCTACTTGGTGATTGCTAAAACTACTTTATTTTGACAATTACCTGACTAAGAATTTATGGTAGTACCAGATTGATATCTTGTGAACTTGTCGTACTCATACTGGATATTGTTTGAAGGTTTGCAAGGCAAAGTCATAATATGTTAATGCTTGCGGTACACCAGTAGTGGATATGTCAAACTGTGAATGATGATGGTGATAATGAATTTATTTATGTACATATTTAATTCTGAATGAATTAGGTAGGTACAGTAATTTAGTCTGATTTTAAATTTGTTATTACTCTGTAAATTTGTAACTACAGTATAATTGAATAATATTGCAGATTACACATTGATGTTTTGAGTAAAACAACACAAACAGTTGATATGAAATGTTTGGAAGAACCAGAAGATGAGTTATCAAAGAGTCAAAGTGAACACTTGAATCAGATGAAGGAAGAATTGGTGACAAATAAAACATTGCATTCACTCGCAACTGAGGGCACTAATGAAATTTTGAAAAATGCTGATCATCCAATTGAAGAATCAGTTGAAACACTGATAAACGAACCTCTAGAAGATGTGCTGGAAGATGTTGGCTCTTTATCTGAGACTGCTGAGACAATGGGTACCCATAGCATGGTACTGGCTTTTGGATCTGCTTTATCACCAGACACTGATAATTTTCTGTCGACAAGGGATAGTGTCGAAATGCCATTCTACAGCTTGGCTGGTGGCATTCAAATTGCTAACTCATATCAACCAGGTCATTTGCATGGATCAAATTTTCAAGAAGAAGAGCTGGAAGAGGTTGAAGGCAAGTTGGAAGATCTTAAACGAGAGAAAGAAGATATTGAAAGAAAATGTATAAGACAGAAAGAAGAGCTTCAACGAAAAATTGAACATTGTGAAGGAAAACTGGAGAAATTTGAAATAGAATATGAAGATCTAAGAGTACAACATCAAAACAAAGAAAGAAAACTAGAAGAAATAGAATCTGGATTAGGGAGCATTTATAAGAGAAATAGTCATCTTGAGGAGATGCTTGGTGATTCTACAAAATCTTTGTTAGCTGGAACAAAGTTACTAAGAAATGAATTGGAAACGTTTAAAAATTTTGTTTTTACTTTTTCAACTGAAAATATGACATCAATTTCTCAATTTACTTCTTCTGTTGAGTATATAACAAAAGAATATGACAGAATTGAAATAGATAACTCAAATCTTGTGAAAGAAATAAGCCAACTAAAAGAAGAATACCAGGTGGCAAGTGTTTTTAAGGAAAAATATGAATGCCTATTAGGAGAACATGAAAAATATAGGACGAAAATTAAAGAAGAAAATAAAATGATGGACAAAAGCAAAAATGAAAAGGAGGCAGAACATCAGAAAATATTGAAAAAGATTGAAAAATTGGAAAAAGATTTAGAACTTGTTACAAAAGAATTATTGGCAGAAAAGGATATACGTATACAGAATGAAGAATCGCTTACAAAACAGCTTGAGGTGAGCAACAAAGACTTACAGTGTATGAATAAGCAATTAATTGATGCCAAAGAAGAAAATAAACAGTTTGTACAAGCGATTCATAAACATAAGCAACAAATTGAATGCGAGAAACAAGAAATTGTTGGTTTAAAATTATGTCAAGAAGTTGAAATAAGTGAACTTAAATTGCTTTTGAAAGAAAAAGATGTTTTGCTTCAACGAAGTAATGATGAAAAGATGGAATTGTTGCAAAAGAAAGAACAAGAGAAGAAAACAGAAATAAGTGATCTAATAGTTCAATTTAAATATGAGAAAAAGGAAGAATTGAAGGATTTTGAAAAAATGCTACGAAAACAATGGAGAGTTGAAATACAGGAAATGTCATTAGAGGAATTAATTGTAATCAAACCTGAAATCCAGTCAGCTGAAAAAATTAATGAGGATAAAGAAAATGCTCTGAAAGAACTCCAGAAATCTCATGAAATGGAACTACAAAGCAAGCTTGAAGAATTGGAAAGAAATAAAGATGAAGAAATTGCATTAGCCAAACAACAAGCTCATCTGCAAGTTCAAGAATTGTTGGAAAAATATCAAAATTGTGAAGAGAAGTATCATGACCTGCAAAAACAATCAAAAATGCAGACAAGTCAGATGGAAGCGTCATTCATGACAGATAAACAAAGTGAGGTACTCGCAGCAGTGGAAGAAGAGAGGAAGAAACACAAACATAAAATGGATAAACTTAGGTCAAGTATGGAAGAGAATCACAAAAAATCTATAAAAGCAATGCTAGAAGAAGCTGATGCACGGCACTTCCAAGAAATCCAAGAGATGGCGAGAACATTTGATGAAGATAAGCTGAATAGTTTGGAAGACATGAAGACTAGCATTCAAGCAGACAAACAAATCCACTTCAATGCTGCCCTCTCTAAAGTCTCGCTTAAGAAAGATAAAGAAATTGAAACATTAAAGAAGAAACTGGCAGAACATGAAGAGCAGCAACAAATAGATAAGGGTAATTTATTCATTTGCTTTTTGTTTGGTTTATTTTTTACTAGCAATCACTGACATAATTCTGACTTGCAACATTTAAAAAGGTGTGTTTTCCCCTAGTTTGCATATGAGAAAGGCGACAACAACATTTTGATCTAAATACCTAAATTTAATGCAAATAATAAAATACTTACCCTGCTAAGATACTTAAGGTGTAGTGGAGTGCAAAGATAATTAAACACGTTGAGGGGGGTGGGGGGTTGTTGGACCGGGTCTAAAAGAGAGAAAATTGATCGCCCTAAACGTCTCAGAGGTTATTTTTCTGGCGTTTAGAAAACAAAATTTCGCGGGGGCATGCCCCTGTGCCCCTTAAGCCCATCTCGAATTGAAGCACCCCTCTTTACAGTACTTTGCAAAAGTAGCCACAAGAAGCCCATCCAAAGGTTGCAAAAAAAAGAAGCCCAGGGCTTCAATTTGAGGTTTTACAGTTTGTATATTAGATTTTATTTAAAATTAGAGCAAGACAATTGTTTAAATAAATTGTTATCATCATTAATGTGATTTCTGAATACAAATTTACTAGTTTACTGTTGAATTTTTCCTCCATTAGAATCTATTGACAAACTGCTTTCAGAAAATTCCAACATCAGTGAAATTGTAAAGCAGACACTCTCAAATAAAGAAGCAGAAAATAATAAACTTAAAGAGGAAAACAAGTCTCTCTTACAAACCAAACAAGAGTTAATTGAGAGATGTCAGCAAGGCCAGGCAGGTGCTTCATCGTTAGAGGAGTCTGTTGTCTGCATGCCAAAAAGTACTCAGAGGTAAGATATATTTATAGTGCATGTTGCTCATGCTCATGGGTCATTAGTTAATAGGGTCAAAGATGATGAATGTAAGAAGATACATCAGTTCGCGATATATAATAGAACGTCGATGAGGGCGTCCATGGGGTAATTTTCCTCCATCCTAGAGGCGGCGCTATAATGTTTATAATCAATAGATAAATGTAAGGCACTGCTTGAGTTTGTTTGTTTCCTTAGTTTCTCCACATTAAATGGTCACAATTATTTTCTCCATTCTAGAGAGGGCGGACATTCCATGTCAATTTTATTTAAAAATATGCGAAGAGCTCATTCTTCTATTTAAGTTTTTTGATAGGGTTAGAATCAATAGATATTGTAAATACTAAAACATCTAGCAAAAGATGTTTATTCTAACTCATTCTTATACAATATTCTTATATACAACATGTCCATCTTTGATAATATTTGTACATAATAGTTATTAATATTTATTGATGTTATTTCTACTTTTACTTATTAAAGTCATTGTTGTATGATCATTATGTTTAGGTATATACCGTATGTTAATTTTACTCCTTTTCTACTCTGTATATATCTTATGATTGTGATTGTAAAGACATCTTTTAGATTTTTTGTGTAGATTTTAGATATTGGTCAATTTCAAAATAATGCAATACCTTTTTATTGCTTTTGTTTATAAATGGTTTTGTATCTGTTATTAAGTTTTGAAGACAAGGCATCTGGAGGTCATCGACTTGCCAAGACTAAAGACAACACAGACTTCAGAAAAAAAATGGTAGATATAGCTATGCACCTTTTTGGCAATTTTTGTATATTTGTGTAAAGAACATAAATGAAATCGTAGATTTTTTCAGCCTGACGTGTAATGCACTGAATAATCTGTATAGTTTTTTTCATTAAATAAGTTCATCAGGTTTGTAGATAATATACAAATATTGACTGCTTGCTCATGAGGGGGATGGTGAAATCTATTGCCCTTTGATGATGTGGAGACTGTAGCCTATCTTCCTTTGGGCCTCCGCCAAATCTAGAGCAATCAATATTTGTTTTATATACCTTATAATTGATTCTACAAGGCCTAAAAACGTACTTACTTACTTCCTAGCTTTGCCTAGAAATTTCTTTTAATCTAAACTAAGTATCACTTACTATTATTGACAGTTTCAAGTATCCTGGACGATACCCTTCTTCAGAATGATGGTAGATCCTTCTGTACGGTTGCATGAATCCTGATAGCTGATGACCTCACTAAGAAAATGGGCTCATCTTCATCCAAAGGGAAAGAAGACTCTACCACCATTCTGAAGAAGGGTATTGTCCAGGACACTCAAAACTGTCATTAATAGTACTTAATTGATACTTGGTTTTGATTTTGAGTACAGAAAATTATATATTTATCTCTTTGGTTAATTGATATTTATTGTTACTATTTTTACTTTTGCTTATTAAGTTATTGTTGTATGATCATTGTATATATGTTTTGTCTATATTAATTTTGCTCCATTTGTGCTCTCAATACATTTGACTATTACTAAAAAGACATCTTTTATTATTAAACCTTAGTAGATATAAGTAGTAGCATTCTATGTACTTATAGCATTATTAAGTCTTTTATAAATCAGTGATGTATCTAATGTGAATTTGGGTGCACCTTTCCAGCCCACCCTCCCCCCTAAGATTAATTTGCTCAAGTAATTAAAAATTGCTTGATCACTTAATTTTGCCCTTAACCTTCACACCTCCCATATCATTCATCCTAGATACACCACTGCCATTAAGGCCCTTGTGTGTTTTTTTAAGGTATGGTATGGCCTTTGGTTGCTAAAATATTGTTACATAAGAATAAATATATCAATTATTGTTATAATTGATAATTATTGGTGTATTTGCTTCAGCTTGAGAAAGTTTTTTCAAGCCAGACTCCGGAGGAAAACTTTATACTACTGATTTTTCTAAGACACAAAGAGGGTGTTTGATAAAACAGATTTTTAATATTTAAAAAGGAGTGTAACCACCCTTCTTCCCCTAGTTTTTAAATATCCAAAAATTTGTATCTTATTAACAGTTACCAGGTTTTTTGTCACCCTTTTTTTGTCTTAAAAAAATCAGTTGTACAACAAATTAAAACATTTTTTCCCCTGGAGCCTTGCTTTAAGCGCACCATGTTGCACAACTACCGTATATTCTTGCATATGACATGGCTTAAAATAGCAAATTGTGATCGAAAAACAGGTGGTTGTCTTATACATTTTTTATTTTTTGTTGATCGTCATGACATGTGAATGCTTCTGAAATAAATGAAGCTACTAATAACTGTTAATATGAATGAAAGCAATTTTAAATGCAGGGAAATAAGATTTTTATGAACATTTAAAAAGCCCAAAAATTCATATTATTTAGAAGATTAGCCCTTCATTTGGCTATGTTTTAGCCAGCTAGATGCAGTATCAAGACCATAAAAGCAGCAAAAAGTAGGCCTAAGCAGTTTGGTATTGAAGGGAAGAATTCCGATGGTGAAACAGGGTCATCTTATACGCCCGATATACAGAAATTGTCCAAAAATCTTCTCAAATTCGGGGTCCTTTTAAATGCAGATCGTCTTATATGCGAGAATATACGGTACCAGCATCTGTGATGATGTGTTTGATTAAGAAAAAATAAATGCTGTTGTTAACCAATAATGCTAAGGTTTTAGGGATGTTCCAACTATTTTGGAAATAAATCATTCTTGACTTATTACCTACAATACTGAAATAGCTTGTTACATTCTCTACAACAGCTTGAATCAGCGTCGTCTGGTTCTAAGGCAGAGAAAATATCAATTATAGAGTAAGTATGTCTAAAAGAGTAAGTGAAAATGTATCAGTAATAGAACAAGTTAATCTCCAATCATGGTCAATAATACTTAGGAAGTCATTTTTTATTATTTCATCTCATTCATTGGATGGAAATATTCGTCATACATTTAATATAACATTATTTATTGGTTTGTGCTGTATACTTTAATTCTCGTTTGAGCCAGAATAGGTCTTAAAGATGTATTGTCCCATGCAAAATACTACGAAAAAAGTCACAAAAATCATTTTTAAAGTTAACTAGCTCATTTTAAAGTAACATACAAACTATCAACTTGAACATAGAAATTACTGTACTAAAAAAATATACCTATAATTTTACAGGGAAAAAATTATAGAAACTCTTCCAGTCACTGGAAGTGTATTAATATTTTTATTATTATCCGGTATAAAAATTAGGGTACAGTACACATTTTTTAAAATTCAATAATTTCTATACTCAAGTTAATAATTTGTATGTTTTTGCCAAATGAATTAATTTCAAAATTATTTGTTGTGATGTTTTGTCATTTTTAGGGAACAATACATCTAAAACATGTATTTGCATGTTTAACTTACATTATATTAACATTCCAAAAAATTCTTAACCTGAATTTACAATATTCCCTGTTGAAGTTCAATTTAAGAATATTGTATGATTCACTTATGTAGTTTTAACTCGTTTTTAAATATTTAAGCCTAATTCTCATTCCTCCTAATTAATGTACTGTATGTAGTGGATTTGGTTTTGTTATGTTATAAGGAATATTGTTGACATTAACTGGGATTGTAACATGGGACTAAGACCTGCACCAGGTGTTATCTTTCCTAATATTCTTTGTCTCATCATATTTTCTTGACTTTCTTCAGTATAAGTGTTGGCGATCTTGTGCTTATATATTTTGAGGAGCAAAATGACAATTACGTGGTATTTACACGTGGAACAACTCTCTACTTCGTTCATGCTGATTCGTTGCAGCCACTTGGGCTGAAACCACATGACCCCAGTAAAAGGTACATTAGGTCATTGTTTAAGTGATACGTATACTGTAGTTTATTTTTTAAATATTTAACAATAATACTAGATAATAAATTAAACCAAATGTATTATTCTCAAAACAAGGTAATGATAAAAAATAAGACAATTTTATCACATAGGAGGTACAACAAAAACTGAAATTAAGTGAAGTTCAACATACAGTCAAGCAGTCATTAAGAATAAAAACATTTTTTCTGCACAAATGTTCCTATATTATTTCCATGGGATATAAACTTTGTCCACAATGTTTTAAGTGTCCGTAACAAATACTTGTGTTGTTTACATATGGCTGGGATATGACATCATAATGTCCATATACAGTATATGCAAATTAATGATAAATTAACATGGTGCACAGAGCTGTAAATCAACTGGCAGTCATCAATTTACAGTTTTTGTATCTTTAATGTTATACTGTCCTTGATGCTTTTGGGCACAAACTTTAAAAACACTTTTGGGTTATTTTTTTTTATTAAATAAAAGTTCACTGTACTAAAATATACCTTTTAATATAGTATAGGTGGTAATGATTATGGAGAATGTAGTGATATTTTTAATAATAAGTATAATTTTTTATTAATTTATGAAATATAATGAGTAAATGTATTAAATTGTATTATAGGGCTTGGATTATTGGTAGGATTACAGACAAAGAGTATTGTCAGGCTAAAAAGGTAAGTCTTCTTACTGTAGCATTTACATTCATTCATTCCTTATATAATTTGTCATTTTATTTACATTTGAAAATTGTAATTTAGATTTGAAATATCAACTGATGAAAAGATTCTTAATTTTTTTTTTAATGACTCACAGTCCAAACCAAATTCATCATTTCACAAATTCAGGATTGACCCTTCATACATGCCCCAGGGGAATGCATGTCCCCCAAGACATATTTGATATTGTTTATATTTCCTGAAGTTTCCAAAATGTGGATCTTTGTATCTCTTTAGGCCCAGAATCGTTTCAAGGTTCCTGTTGGTACTAAATTCTACCGAGTGAAAGCAGAATCATGCAGTATACGAGAACACCGCCGAACCAAGGCAGAGAGCAAATCATAATCAATAGGCCTGGGAGATGACAGTAGAGTATTTCTGCTCATTTCCAAGTTTTTCACTAAATCTTTTTTCCGCTTTAATACTCAATGGCTGGGTTTTACCCCTCATCTTGTGTACTATATCTGGTTGAATTTACTTAATCAAATATTAAATCTACCAGCTGTGGGTTTATTCACAGGGGTCTAAGTGTCCAGACCCAGCTCCCAGGGGAAACCGACAAAGACAAACTTTTGTGAATAACTTATGTCACTGTGTATAACTTTAAGGGGTATACTTTTTTGGGAGAAAAGAGTTTAATCAAATGGTTGAATTAGTTGGTATTTTGTAAACAAAAATCTAAAAGTGGTTTTGAGTTTTGCAAACAAATAGACTTTGTTTTCTGATGTGGTGTTTTAATTACATAGTCATATGTTTACTATTTTAGTTATACTTAAGTAATCTAAATTGATGTGTTAAACAAGAGCATATATAGGATTGTTGATGTGAGACGGGGAATGTGGGGGAAAATGAGAGTGCTTGCAGGGGGAATGATGTGATATGAAGTGATCTATGTTGTACTAAGTAGACTAAAGTAAGAAAACAGTAATATTACAATTAATCAAAGTACCAGTAGTAATAAAAATGAGAAAAACAGGTTTATATTAATTATTGTACAGTGTTTGTAATTCTGTTAATTGTTTAATGTGATTAAATTTATTTACATAAGTAAGCAATATAGTGCAATGCCAGAAATATATGTTGTTTGATTTTATATATTTTTTTAATTTGCATGTAAAAACAAATGAGACTTATTAAAAAAATTTTAAATAAAATTAAAATGTAAATAAGTCAAGAAAATTTAAAACAATCACTAATCTAAAGCTAATGATGCTGTATTATGAAAGTGCACATTATAATCAATGACTCTGTTTTATATCAACTTTAATAATCAAATTACAAGACACAGTGTGTGTAAGTGTACATAAATTTAAATAATAAATATTAATACATTATATATATTATATCATCATATAACATACTGTATATAAAACATTGCTACCACTTGCAACTTCTTTAAATTAATTAAATCCTGAAAACACTGCATTTTACAATTTCTTTGAGACAGAACTTTATTAATTTATTAACATGATTAAGTTTATTTACATAGGTAATCAACATAGTGCAATGTCAGAAAAAACTAAACTAAAAAAATATATAAATATAAATACAGGTATGTCAAGAAAATTAAAACATTTACTAATGTAAAACTAATGATTCTGTATTGTGAAAGTTAACTTCTGTTCATCACATACATTTAAATAATAAATATTAATACATAAATATATACATACAGCATAGGATACTGTATATTAAGCACACATTAGCTTTGCTATCACTTGCAACTTATTTAATTTAATTACATCCTCAAAACACTGCATTTTAGGATTTTTAAAGACAAATCTTTATTAATTTTAAAGAGAAATTGATTTGAATTGGTTGTAAAAAGACTGTTTGGTTTCATCAAATTGTATTAGGCTTACCTGACCCAGCATTACCCATCTAGCGTTTTTTTATTGTGGTTTGACAAATGGGATGCACATGGTAACACTGTTTCAGACCTACCAAGCCTCACACATTCATATTCATGCATTCAAAGACCAAAATCTTGCACAAAAATGTAATATTACTAAATATAATATCTGCATGAGTATTGTGGTTATTTTGATTGTCATTTTCTAAAGTTATGGTCTAAAAGCACACTGTAAAATTCTCCATGTGAAACTCTATCAAGTATTTTATATGATGGGAGCTGGAATATAGGCTCTGGTCGACCCCTTAGTTCAGACCTCCTGTTGGACATGTGGGACCACGTCGGAAATTTTTCTGGAGCTCTAATAACAATCATAATAATAATAATGATATTAATATCAATAACAATAGTAATAAAAAAAATAATAACTATGTAACAATATTAATAATAAATGTCTAAAACAACAAAATTGTTCCAAAATGTCATAAAGACATTATTTTGGAGAGTGGATAGATGGAGATATATATATGTATATGGTGCCACACTTTTGGTTCGTGTATTGCACAGCTCATGTCACAGGGAAAGGCTGACTGCAAATTTGTGAAAATCGGCTGTGTTTACCATACTGGTATATTATGTGACATATGTATTTCCAAAAGCCTAAAAACAATTACAAAAAAATTAACCAAAATGGTTTTATAAAATAATCATTTTTTACATTTTAATCAGATGTAAAATAGTGTAAAACTAATTGGGTTGTTTTAGTTCAGGTAGATTTACATTTTAATCAGATGTAAAATAGTGTATAACTAATTGGGTTGTTTTAGTTCAACTAGAAGGGCTGTAATAGTTTCAGTGTTAGCAGAACTATGAAACTTGAACTGATGGTGCATCGCTGCATGCATGATGTACTATGCACATAACTATTGTCTAAACATAATACACCATTTATAACAAATTTAACTAGCTATTGTTAGTAAAGTCATCTCAAAAACATCTTTGTTTAGGTGACTTTGCGTTGAGCCCAGAACATACTAATCAAAAGAACTGAACCAAATCATTACACTATTACTGAGAAGTCTCCATCAGGACTATCTTATTTTTTGTATCAATTAGTGAGATGATTTATTTAGGCGAGACACTTTTCATTCCTTGTTTCGCGTACTTATTTTTTTAAAGATTATCAGAGGAAGGTGGAATAAAGATAAAAATAAAATTTGTTTTCTTATTTAGCAAATAGATTTGCCAAAAACATGGAGATGGAGGAAAAAATAAAAATTATTTTTTTTGGTGAATGTAAAACAGTTTGGTTAAATGCTTCAAATTTATGTAGTTAGGAAGAAATATACATATCTTATCTTTGGAGATTTCAAGGCAGTGGAAGGTGTAATAAGAATAAAGAAAAACTTTTATTTTTTTTCAGAAATTTTTATTTTTCGTGGTGGCGGGTGCACTAAAATTTTAATTTTATTCGAAATCATAAATATTTGCGTCGGCGGGTTTGCTAAACAAGGTATAAAAAAAGTCTTGCCTTAAGTCTAATCTTTCTGCTTAGCAAATTCTCAATGTGGAAATTCCGGGGAACAAACATCTTCTGTAAACTTTATCTACAGGAGGTGGTGTTCTGTCTTTTTTTAATTTTTTTTTTTTGGGAGGGTGGGGGTTCTTTGCCTTTGTTTTGTCTATATTCTCCACATACCTTGAGTAATATATTGCAGATATCATTAATGGTGAATTATTATTAGCCTGGTAATACAATACAATGTTTAAAAAAAATGCATGGAATAGGGCCGAAAAATATCAAAAAGGAATCGTCATGCGTCAGCTGAAATACTGTAAAAATTAAGGTAGAATGATAGGGGACACCAGTATCTGTGCAGATCCAGGAATTCGAAATAGAGGGGACCCATGGAGGTACTTTGGCAAATGGAGGGTCTAGGCCACACCTCAGCCCCAGCAAAAGAATAATGGTGTATTTCAAGCATTTGCATAACATAGGCTACTGCACTGGACAATTTTGAATTGAAAAGGCACCTAAGATAAATGCTTGCTTATATAAAGTTCATGCAAATAATTTAATTACAGTATCCTGTATAGGATTTTGCAATAGAGGGGACCCATGGAGGTACTTTGATGGATAATTTTCTGTGGGTGTGAGGGGATGTTCTGCTTTTTTGGGGTACTTTGACAGATGGATAATAATAATTTGATTATAGTATATACACCATATATACCTTATATGTATTATTATATATTATTCGGCATTAAAGAGTGTGAAATTTGTTTTAATTTTGCGGTTATATTTGTTGTGTGTAATAAATCTATTCCAGGAGACATACATTGTTATGTTTACTCACAGGTTCAACACTCAAGTATCTCATTACAGACACAAAATATTGAGGATGTATCATATTAAAAAAAAAACAGGGGATAAGTAGGGCATGGAGGGTGGCAGGGATAACTATTAAATGAAAATAGTGAAGTAATTGGTATCAAATTTTTACAGGAGCAATATAGTACGGTAGATAGAAATCTGGAAGATGTTCATGTTTTTTAATACTGTACTCCACTGGTTAATCGAAACATAAAAACACTCTTAACATCTCCCACACCTTACGGTCTGCCTTCATTTGTCCTGTCCAAGGATGCCAAGAAGGAAAACTGTAAGAGAGGCAATGGTTGGTGTGGGCCCCTAGGTACGAGCACAAGGAAGATTGCACCGAAGGGGAAACATTTCTTTTTGGGTGGGGGGGGGGTGACTGTCAATCTGGAGGAGCCCATTTTTAGGGGGCCCATGCCATTATTGAGGGCCCATGATAGTAATTATTATTTTTGAAAAAAATATTGAAAATAAAATGCTACCTGTAATTTTTATGGGCCCTAGTAAGCTTGGGCCCCGGTGATCTTTTCCCTATCCCGCACTCTTGATGGCACTGGTCCTGTCATTTGTGTAGTTCCATATGTTGAGTGTCTGGAGACCAAAGTTATTTACATCCCTAGTGATTTGGTGAAACCATCTTGTGAGGTGGACAAGTCCCTGTTGCATACAATCTTTTTCATTACCTTAATATTTGTTTAGTGTTAACAGGCAGAAGTATCGATTTAAGAGTGAACACAATTCATAGTTTCTCAATAACTTGATATTCTTTATTATAGTTGTAAAATCACCATCAAATTTTGAGATTGGATCCATATATTTGTAGGTAAAAGAACCAGTGTGCGCCAGATGCCAAATTGCTGCACTGGAAAACACCATTGGCAAAAATGTCATGACATCCACAGTATTATTACTTGGGTCACCATTACATGTTCAGCAGTTAACATAAACTGAACAGATTGGTTTGCACGCTATTTCTTTTAAAATACAAATCTAAGGTCACACCACATCTAAAGCTAGTCACAAACCTAAAAGAATCCAGATATTAAAATTTTAACATTTAAAAAAAATCAAAATCTATACACTATGTTAAACATGGGTTTAATCCCAAATTCCAATGCAGAAATCAATTATCTGATACAGTTCAGGCCCAAAATAGTATAAATTCACCAAAAAAAAAAATCATATTTGATCGATTTATTTAAAATGTAATGTAAAATGATTTTCAAATTGTATGTTTCGCATATGTATGTTTTATCAAAATATGTGAAAAAAAAAAACAGTATCATTTGTTCATACAGTAGATATCTGCAATGAAGACATTTTTCAACCTGTTAATTTAAAAAATTTTTTTTAAAAAAATAAATGTTCTTTTCTAATGTCTGGATTTCAAAATGCTGGTATACTCTTCACAAAATCTGGGTTTTTCATTTTGAAGAATTACATGGGCACAAAACCAAAAAGTTGAACAACACAATTTTAGAAAAAAAATATGCTGTACCACCTCAACACACTGGTACTTTGCTGGAAAAAATAAAAGGATTTTAAGTAGCCATATTTGTTTCCTATTTGTAAAATATGTTCCTTATCTTTGGACTTCACCAATATAAGTAGCAGATAGTCTACAATATCCTTGTAGTAACCAATATTACTGATTTATTTTCCATAAAAACTATATTTATAAAGAATTTTTAATAATAATGTTTATGTACCGTAAATGATATACAGTACTTTCATAAAAGTGAAAAAAAAATTTAAAAATTTGCTTACTAATTTCTGTTTCCGCAATCTACTGACATAACATTTGCGAGATGAACTTTTATAATAAAACGTTTGTATCTATTTGACTTTAAATATCGTTGATACCTTATATGAGCAATTTAAAAGGCTTTTAGGTTTTACAAAGGCAAACCTAGTGTCGTACGACATCTGACACAAATTACCGTTGCGTCACGTCTGTGTGAGGTAAAGGCTGACATGACGAGCCATCATGAAACTATGTTGGTGGCAATCGTGTTTATGATTAGAATACTAAACATGTTTAATAATATTCTCAAAATGACCCAAGACTGTCGATAAATCATGTCAGGCTGCATCGTGTAACGCTGTTTTAATCGGCCTTTAAGACTAATCAGACTGTAGGGAAAATGCAAAATATCACCCAATCTGAAGATACACCCCACCCTTAACTGATTAGACTAACACATTTCTCCAATCCATACCTTTTAAGTGCCTGAGTAAAATACATAAATTTGTAATACCATATTTATTGGAATAAACGCCCTGCTTTGAACAAACGTAGGGCGTAATGGAAGCAACATAATTCTCAACACATTCTATTAATGTACTCCAGTAGAATTACATTTTTTTCTAACTGTTGGGACCAATGAGTCTATGATCACACAATAACACATTTTGACGGTAATTATATGTTGTATTTCCACATTTGCAGTGAAATTAAGGGGGCGGTTATTCAAGAAAGGCGTTTAATTTCCAGATGTAAATTTGATACGTTTACTCAAAAAACCGTATCATCAATAAACACCCCTAGGCGTTTATTCAAACAAATACGGTATTTCCTTAATCTTTTTTCTCTTTACACGGTTATAACATCAAGATAAATTAAATTACCGTAATATTTACACCATGTTCCATACAATAACTCTATTTTAATGTGAAGAGGAGAAAATAAAACAATTAAATTAGATTGAAATTCATGGTTTCTCTAATTTCATAAAAATAAATGTTTTACTTTCACCCTAAATTACATCCTAACTACATTCATGCAATATAGTATATATACAATTAAGTTCTTATTATATAGAACACTTTAAGATAAAACAATTATAAATAGAAAATGTGTCACAAACTATGATATCTTACAACTTCATTTATAATTATTTATAACACTAAAATGTTGGATTCCAACTTTGATTTACCATTTTTTGACAATTTTCAGATTTATATTTCAAACATGATAATTGCACCCAAACAGTGACGTATCTAGGGTATTGAAATGTGTGGGGGGGGGGGGGACCTGATGGGAAGTACAAGGTGACATGGGAGGTTTCTATGATAAAGCGAGGGGAACTAGCTGGCTAAACAAAATGAATTTTAACTACTTGAGCATAATTTTTTTGTTACAAAAGTATTTTGGGGGGCATGCAACTCTGTGCAACCTCTAGATACGCCATGAAATTAAGGTAGCTATCATGATTAATCTTATTATTACAAACAGTTAAAGTGAAAGAAGGAGATGCAGTCAGAATGTAAAGATGATGATGAGTAGGATGTTCATGATGATAAACATTATGATGTATTTGTAATCAACTCTAAATATATAAAACAATTTAGCAATTTGGCATCGTTGATAAACTTACAAAATAATACAGTAATAAAATATTAGATTCTAGTACCTTGTACACTTGAATTTAAGATACTCCAAATCTTGGAAGAACACTGGAGGATAAAGGGTCTAAGAAGCCAGAAACAGAAACACATTAAAAAAAATATAGTTTTGCCTACTTGCATAATTTTGATATTTACTTATTACAGTATTTATTTACTTTTAAATCATACTGGAAATTTATGCTATGATTACAAATTCTATCTTTGATTTAAGCAGCATATCACACAAATATTCAACACCAAACAAATGAGTGCTGATATAGCTATTTTGTTATTAAAAAATAATTTGATTTTATCAAGCGAAAACCAGAAAGTAAAAACCCTCCCAATATCAGAAAAATTGGACACAAGTTTGTGGAATGCAAAGACGTTGTTACTCCAACACATATGTTTTATGAGATGTGGTAAGAAGATGGCGCTTAAGATCTTCATTCCTCTTGAAGAGCAGACCACAGCGCCTGCATGGAACTCCCTTCTTTGGATTCCATTTATCCCAAACTGAGACCTCGTCCATGAAACTCTGATAGCTCCTAACCTTCCCAACACCTTCATCATCATCTGAAGATTCGCTACTCATTCTTACTTTCTTTCGAGTAGGCCTTCTTCTTTTGGAGTTACATGAATCATCACTACTTTCAACATCTTCAGAGTCGTGTTCACTTTCACTTGAATCCATTCTATCAACTGCACTCTTTAATAATCTTTTTTTGCTAGGTTTTCTCTTTTCTTGTTTGGCAGTGCCATCATGACCTGTCATTGCACAATGGAACTCATATGCATGGAGATCCTTGCATTTCCGTCCACACTCTCCACATTGTCTCTTTTGATCTTTTGAGGTAATATCTTCAGAGTTAGAAATATTTTCATCTTCCAAACTCTGTACAATCTTTCGTGGCCGGCCTCTGTTCCTCTTTTGACCGAGAGATGCATTGATAGCTTGTTGTTTGATCATCTTTGGTGGCCGTCCTCTCTTTCGTTGGATGCTTCCTTCTGTGGTTCTTTGTAAGGAATGTCCTGATAAAGCAATGTGAAACTCTAGCGTTTCAGAGTCTTTGAACTGCTTTTTACAGGTTCCACATCTTGGTTTACAAATTGATTTTGCACTTCTTGAATTATTATTTTTTGATGGTTCTTCCTCTTCACTTTCTTCACTTTCCTCCGAATCTGATTCTTCTGAACTGCTATCACTACTTGTAAGGTCAGCAATCCTTGACCTACTTTGTTTGACCTTTACTGTTCTATCTGACCCTAACTTTGATGCACCATGACCTGAGATTGCCATATGGTAGTAGAGGGCATTCTTATCCTTAAATTTCCGGTTGCATACACTACAAAAGATATCAACAGAAATATTTGAGGGTGCTTTTTTTGCAATTTGGACTTGTTCAACTTCCGATTCTTCTCCACTGCTGTTTTCATCATCATCCTCTTCTTCGTCGCTTGTGTTCTCTTCACTTGAATTGCTTTCTTCTTGGGTCACATGCCCACTGAAAGCTTCATGGTAATTCAACATTTCTAGAGTTTTAAATTTCTTACCACACTCAAAACAGATCAAACTTGATTTTGAGTGTTTTAGTTGTTTTTTACTTTGAATTTGGGATCTTCCATTTTTAAGTAATTTTTTGACCGACTGTTCTACATTGCTTATTTTATTTTTTTCATTTTTCAATATCTCCTTGTCAGGGGATTCTTCCTGAGTGTGTCCACTAAGGGCACAATGCATCTTTAATTCCTTAAGACTTTTGAATTTCTTTCGACATCCATTACAATTTAAACTCTTTGAATTGCAAGAATACTGATTTTCTTCACTTTTCTTATCATTAGATTTGCCATCTGTACTGTGCTTTGTTTTCCCATTCATCTCAGATTGTCTTTTTTCCTGTATTTTTTCTCTTTTATCAGAATGTCCTGAAAGAGCCAAGTGCAAATCCAAAGACTTGCTATCTTTGAATTTTTTATTACAACTACCACAAGGTAGTTTGGTGACATCAATTCTTTTCACCTCTTTCTCAACTTTCTTCTTGTTTTCCTCCATCTGATCACCATCATCTTCATCATCATCATCTTCTTCTGTTTCTCTTTCATTGTTTTCATCACTGTTTACATGCCCTGACATTGCAAAGTGAAAATTTAAAGCCTTGGTATCTTTGAACCTCCTAGAACATTCATTACATCGAAACACAACCTTCTGCTCCTTTTGTCTGTGGTTGGATTTCTTTCTCACTGAAGATGTGGCTGAATTGTGAGTCTTGGAGGCAGTATCCCTATTTTCATTTGGATCAACATGACCCCTTGCTGCACAGTGGAATGACATAGTTTGTTTATCTTTGAACCGTTGACCACATGTTAAGCAGTTATACCTTTTGCTGGTTGAAGATGTCTTTGATATTGAGACATTTTTTTGGCAGCGTCCACTCACACTATTGTGATGTCTCAATGATTCACCATTCCTGAAACTTTTTTTACAGACAGTACACATATATTTCTTTTCCAATTTGTTTTGATTATTATCTTTCTTATCAACCTGCTTGCTTGCAGTTCCTTTCTTTCCGGTCATTGATGCTGGGAGTTCTATGCTGGAATCATCTTCCAATAACCTAGACATCATATTATCCAACAGATGTTCGTTAATATTATTATAATCTTGTTGTTGGCTCTCTAAGTGACTGTCATCAAGTTTTGGTATCAACACTTGTAAATATCGTATGTTGTTTATATCAATGTCATCCATTCCTTCAGATCAATAAGTGTAGTATAAACACAACCATTTCTCATGGGTTAGTACCTGAGGAAGAAGCAAAATAAACAAATTTTAATGATTAATGTTTAGGATAGCATCAAGAATTGTTTTACTATACAGTACTAGACTCTGTCTTCCACACACAACACAGCTTCTCAAAATGCTATCAGACCTTATTTTTTAAAAGCACAGACAGTCGGATATCTACAGTAGGCCTAAATTTTTGCACGAGGGAAAACCTAACAGGTCCTGGTTCCAACTAACAATCGTCGTTTTAAACCAACAATCGTCAACAGCCCTGAAAATGTTTAAGTGAAGTGAAGTAAAGTAGGCTAGGGCCTAGGCCCTATGCCTACATGTAGCACTACTACTAGGCCTAGGCCTACTACCAGTCAGGGAGTTGTTGCTAGCCTAGGCCTAGCTAGGGACCTCCTACCCTAGCTAGGGCGATTAAAGAGCCGAAACACTCCACCGCAACCTCTCCTTACCTCCTTTCTATATGCATAGGCTAGTCTAAGTATAGTAGTTCTGTATGCCGAGGCCTAGGCCTGTGCACCATCGACTATAAAAACATTTGAGGCAGAAACGTGCCTTTGTCGCCGTTCGGTTCGGGCCAAAAATAGAGGTTCCTCACTCAAGCCTAGCTAATTTCCACAATATAGAGCGTGATTGCAAAATAAATATGTTAAACACTAAAGTATTAGTAATCTAAATCAAACATACTTACGTTTCAGATATATGCAGATGATTTAATATTTTTATAAATCATAAAATTCTGAAATATAGGCTATCCCAGCTCTTGACATAACTAAACTACCGAAATGAAGACTTGGGACGCTGTACTACGCCCTCTCTAGATTTTTTATTAAAAATATGGGCGGCCAATAAAGTCTAACTGACAAAAAATAACAATAGACATCGTGATGATTTGGAAATATTAAAGAAATTGACATAATTATTCTTAATTAGACTTGCCACAAGTCTCTAATTTATTGATTTTTCGTAGTACTAAGTATTAGCAGATTTCGGAAAGCGCCACCAGCGTCAGTTTATGTCGAGAAACTTTTTTAGGCCTTTTTCACGAATCGGTAGACACCTTGAAGTGATGACAAACATTACGAATCAGCGGTGCGTGACCAACAGAAATAAGATAACATTTTGGGCTGATTTTCTGACATCATGTTATTTAAAAAATCATAACTCCATAACAGGACGTCGTATCCAAAACATTTTTCCAGCAAAATGTTCTTAAGAGACTAGTCTACACTACTATATGATTGAAAAACGATTGAAAAATGTTTTTGACCTCTGAAATCAAGATGGAAAAAGAAAAGCCTATTCTAAGTAGTGTATTAAAATAGGCCTATGCATGCCTATAAGAACACGTTCCCCCGTGGCCCCCTACTGGATCCGCCCCTGAGGCACATTTTATGATTTTTCTTAACACTTTTCATCTTATTCATTCAATAACTACAACTAATTATGGATTGTGTTTTATTGTAAACCACATCATCCTACCAGCAAATATTAGTTTTGTTTTGCATGAGGAAACCTAACTCTTTGAAGCTATCCCGGGATCCTGAAATATGTAAAAGGCAGGTTGGTGAATAAGGAGAGGTTTGGAAATTTTGTGATTCGAGTTAAACATGCCTTCATCAGCAAATTTGTTATATTAGGCCTTCTGTATCATAGCCAGCTGAGTAGACAAATAATGCCCATCCCTTCAACAGATTGTTTTACGTCTGTAAAATATAAACCTAGAAACAATATTACGTTATATATAAGAACGTTATAATAACGTTACAGTTTGATGTTAAAAACGTTATTTTGTAGAACCATATGTACGTACTTATAACCTAATTTTACAACGTCATAATAACCTTGTGTGAACGTTATTTTGTGATATATCAAACCAAACGTTCGCGGACATTATAAGAACGATCAGAGTGTTTGATAGGAGGCCTATCTAGATTGTCAGTGGCCCAGCACACAATATGCGCACCCGCTCATGACGTAATGAACTGGCAAAACCATTTGTAATTTAGTTTTTTGTATGATAGACGGTTCTGCATAAGTAATAGCAAAATGATAATTGTGCAAATTTACATTTACGAGGATGTCTCATATCACACTGGATTATTATTTTGATGGTATGCTTGTGGGATGGTTTAACGATGCGTGGGTGTCAATATTCAGCTACCTGTAGAACAATATAGTGGGAATACTGTCAGTGCTACCAATTTGTTTAACATCGCGGCTGCTGACTACGGGTTGCTTGTAAAAAAATATACGTTCATTGGTTAAAGTTTTATGTTCAATTAAGTATATGGACGTTGGTGACCTGAGAATTCGTCTTTTCATATGTTCCATATGAATTTTAAATTTGTGTTTTTTTTTTAATCGAAACTGGTAAGTTATAGAATTGCATTTCCGCCTTATAGTTTTTACCTTGTTAAACCTGTATAGTCATGAGTTGACTATAAGTGGAGTTAGAGTTTGTGTTTGACCGATAAATGTACCGTATGTATTTTTATTTCAGAATTAACTTTTCCTGTAATATTGAACCTTCAAGTGAATTGTCACATTTTAGTCATCAAGAGTGTGATATATTAGAAAATCAAGATGAGATGGGGACAATAACATAGTGGAATTTCATTATTTATTATAGACAAATTGCATCGTCTTATCTTTTCGAATCTTTTCGATCTTATTCAAGATGACAAAACTTTTCGAACTAATCGTCGCTCATTTGAACCGGCAGTTGGCGCTGTTGAAACTAAAGATAACATTTTTTCAAGACAAGCTGGAAATGCAAATTAACAGTAATAAAACAAATGAAAATACTCAGGAAAAAGCAGTTGTTGAAAGCAGTAGAAAAAGTAAACAAACTGATATTTTACGCAAAGCTTTGTGTGTGTGTATTGAATTTAGTAATATTTGCCAAACTGTTGAGATCATGTCCCCAAGGCGTCTCCAACGTCAATTTGCTTTTGATTCTAATGTTGGAAACTCGCCAGTACATAGGCCTACACAAGCGCTTGTTGAACGAGTCACAGGTCCTCGATCCAATCAAGGTAATACCAACAGAAGCCCAAAAGGTACAGCAAATGGGAATGCAAATTTGGACATTTTTAATGCTAACAACAATGCTAACAACAATGGTCAATCCAAAATGGTCAATGAGCAGGACTTCTCTTTGGATAGGCTAGCTCACCTGGGTTCAGGTGGGTTTGGATCAGTTTTTAAAGGTACTTATTGTGGTATGAAAGTAGCCGTTAAGTACCTGCATCAAAGTAAGCGGAATCGCCGAGCATTTGTTCAAAGTTTTAAAGCGGAACTTGAGGCGGTAAATTTCATTCATGAGAACATTGTTCGTATATTAGCAGCAAGTGATCCAGCCGATATTAGTGATGGTTGTTTTCTAATCATGGAATACGCTGGGGATAGGAATCTTCTGCAGTGCATCAACGATCCTGGCGACCATTTTTCTCTTCAAAGAAGAGCGAGATATGCGTTCGATATTGCAAACGCTTTGTCCTATATTCATAGCAACTGCGTTGCACATTTGGATATAAAACCAGCTAATGTGATAATATCGCCAACTGATCGTTGCAAAATCACGGATTTTGGTTGTTGTCGACAAGTTAAAAATGGTCTCGTTGTGACCGACATCACTGAAAGATCGTACTTAACTGGGACATACGCATACCGCGCACCGGAACTTTTACGCGGTCGCCAACCAACCGTGAAAGCAGACATATATTCTTTAGGTATAACGCTTTGGCATATGTTGATCCGTGAACAACCATATGATGGGGACATGCACGCAATAATCTTCGCAGTCGTTGCCTATGGAATGAGACCAGAGTGTCCTGATACAGTTAACATTAATGAACAATGGTACGTGAGTCTCTTCCAGCAATGCTGGCATGCTTCGCCGAGTGAGAGACCGTCAGCATGTACTCTAAAGGAAACGCTTGCTGGTAAACTTCTTGTTGGTAAAGCCACCAAATTAAAGTTCTGACGACATTGATGCATTGCTTACGGATTGATTTAGGAATTTAAGGACAAAACTCTGTCACATTAATCAATTTAATGTTTCTACTTGTAATAATGATTAATGTTTTGATAGTGTATATAGTTAACAAATAGGGCCTATGTAATTTTCCCATAATTATTCCTAAAATACTTTTTATGAATATTTATTGTAAATATGTATGTACAAAGAATATATCTAATGATTTATTTTATCTATATTTCAAATTATATAAGTTTTATGATTTTATATTTCTATTTGGTATCACACTTTATATTTCTATTTCTTCAGTTTCCATGTGCGTATACTGATAGTGCGTATTTATATAAATAAAAACTTGGCATATGCCAACATTTGGTGTTTGTTGAAATTGTTTTAACCCGCATCTGAAACGACGTGGATTACCGGTACTGTACCAACATTGATTATTACATGGCTTGTGAATCACTACATAGGCCTACTAAAGTATTACGCACGGACAACAGATTAAAGTCTTATTTCCATAAAGTCACTACACAGCTTTTGGCTTCAATGAATGGTCGGCCAAATTATATTAGCGAGTTTTCCCGATTCTTGTCTATGTAGACAATTCGTCAGCACGTGATTAAGTTATAATGAAGAACAAACCTACATTAAGATTTTATGCCCCAAAACGTGTTATTAAATCTATTAAAATGACGCAGTTTTAGTTACTTAGCTATTAAGGTTATTAACCTTATGTCGTAGCCTCGACGTTTGTCTTCTATAGGGAAATTTACTTGAAATCTAACTTGTTGAAACATTCAACCTTCGATACGTATTAAGTAACTAACTTTCTTGCTAAAAACTTTCCCCCAGGTCCATGTTATTGCTAACCAGATAAAAATTCTATTCGAATACTAACATATAATTTAATGAATTCGTCTACATCTGGACGTGCAGTGATGGCGCCCGAATTTGCGGTGGGCTTACCGGGAAGCGAAGCGGGAGCTTTACGTATTTTTTTTTTATTGAATTTCCATTATAAGCTGAAATATGATAGTAAAATCGGGTTGCAAATTCACTACACAGAAACATTAATTGGGGCGTGGTTTTGGCAAGGGCGCAGATCCGTTTCTAAAGGTGAATGGGACATTTCGTGAGTCCACACCCACCTCGGGCCCACCATGGGTGGTCCTGAGATGCGAAAATTATAAAAAAAAAATAGTCTAGATTACTGGAAATGACACTTTTAATAGTAATATTTATCATCATCACATATTATTATTAATTATTATTTATTATTACACTTATTCTCATACTTCTCAAATTATAATAAAGGCACGCGCACTCGAGTCGTGTAATTCAGATGTTTGTGGGCAGAGATAAGAGTAGTGGTTGTACAGCACCCTTTCGTTGAAAACCTGGTGTATTATGCAGTTCATTTTAACAATTTTCAGGCCTCTTTCTTGACTTACGAATTATTACATTGCTCTTAATTGGATGACATCTGAAAAGAAGTTAAGCTTAAAATAGAAAGTGTATGTTTTACGTGTATACAGGAGAAGCACACATACAACGAGTGACTTTTTTCACGGTCACGGAAGGTGGTGGTGGGCGAGGGTGGTTAGTCACCCTGTTCACCCCCTCCCACTAGATCCGCCACTGAAAAAATAAATCTTAGGCCTAGTGAATTACTAAACAATTATAAATATACTTGCCGGAAATTGAAATAATCATACACAATGACAACATAATATAACTCGGATGTCAGGCCGTACGTCGTGCCCAACGAAGTAAGTCAGAGTTCAATTAAACAAGGTGTTTTATAGATTAAGGTTAAATATTGACCGTTTCTTTTAAGGGGCAATAATATATAGGCGGCTTTATTTTTAAATATACGCGATACGCTAGTTGAGTTTTAGGCGGCGAAATCTAATTGTTCGTGTCTCAGGTTGACCATTCCAACCACGATCCTCGATATTAGGCAAATGGACGCGTATAATAGGGCCTGTTATATTAAATTATACGGTATTAATTTGTTCATAAAAATCATACACATTTTACCGTATAAAATAATAATAATGCTCGAATAAGCGCCGCACCAAATGTGATAAGCGCCGCGGCGCTTAATCGAGATCTATATTACCCTGTGTGTGTAATGAAACACTTTCAGAAACAGCTGGTTTTAAATGCAATGTACGGTGTTAAAATGAAGCTCCGCTCTAGAATAAGCGCCGCACCGTGCGCATCTTCAGTGAAGCCTCCAAATTATAAGCGCTTATTCGAGCCGGATAATCAACATGACTGCATTAATTAATGCCTCGAATCGATTAAGTCTATTAAATGATGCTGTCTGTTAATATGCTATCTTTGTACATCGTTTTGTTATTACGAATTTAATACTACCCGTATAATTCTGTTTGATCGTGTGCTTTTCTATGAAATTCTAAATTTAGTTGTAACAACTTAATCCTCGCACGTATTTTTGTAAATATATACCTAAGCCTACTTGATTTCCTTGTCTAAAAATTGATTAATCAGACGTCATGCTTTATTAAGCTGATCAGGGTTCTTTTTTGGTAAATATTATTGCATTGGCTCATACTTGTCACATGGTAATTGAACGACCATCCAGTAAAGTGTCCGAAGAGAGAAAAATATTGGATTGAAATAAAAGATTGAGAATTAATCAAACTAAGTTTATTGAACATTTTTGAATCAGTGGCACACAACGGTTCACAAAAAAGTTTGGTAATACCATGGACCTATTAATAGGTCCATGGTAATACTTTTGGCGATCACACACAATTAATAATTCATAATTGAACTCTTGAAAATACCCGGATGTTTGAAGGTCTGCCAATATATAAGCAGCTCATGGCACAAAAAAAAGACAAAGATCGCGGTTTAGTAGCGATATATATATA